CCAAGCAGAGTCGGAAGCTGTACTCTGGTGCTTTGCAGTGAAGCTGTTTTCACCGTTATTAAGACACAATAACACGCCGAATAAATACTAATTCAGAAGTCAAACAACAAAAATCAGCGTTATACCTACAAAATTTTCACAGGACTAGTTTCGATGGTTTTACCGAACCATCATCTTCAGCTGCAAAACCGCAAATGAACAAGATAGGAAATAATGATTAGATAAGATAAGAAAGCCTGGACAAGAATAAGCAAGTGGCGCCATCTGTTGGCGAAACCAGAACTAAAACATAATTTCTATAAAAGCCGAAGGCAAATTTGGATTGGAATTAGGATCGTTAACTAGAACAGAAAGATTTTTATGAATGTGAAATGCCTCTAGAAAATCCAGTTCTCCAATGGAAGATGTTTTTTGAATAATTTTGGCAGCAGAAAAATTGAAAGTGTGATTTTCGGACCAACAATGTTGAGCAACAGAAAACCTCTGTGTTTCCTTTTTTCTAACATATGCCTCATGTTCTTTGACGCGAAATTTTAAGGCTCTCTTAGTTTGGCCAATGTAAATTAAACCACACTGGCAAGGAATCCTATAAATACCCCAGGAATTCATATCCGGAATGGGGTCCTTGAGTATAGAAGTTGGAATTTTATTGATGGGAGAAAAAACAACCCGAAAGTTAAATTTCTGCAAAATATGTGCAACTTTCTAGCTAATTGATGGAAAGAAGGGAATGACAACAGAATTTTTATAATCTCCTAAAATAAGAGTGTGGCTTTTAGTGTGTTGAGATGAGAATTTTTTAACTGCTTGATTAATAATGTTGGGTGTTTCACCGTTATTGTCTGACAGTGTTAGGCTGTGGCGCTGAACGTGTCAGCGTGTTTATAACAGTTCGACGTCCGTGAAAGTGATTTTGAAGCTATCTGATTAATATTGGTAAATAAAGTACGTTTGGATATTTCATCAAATAGTGTCGTCGTTATTCATTCCAAATCTACACAAACCCCGTAACGTAACGTAAAGAAGAAGGGGGGGAACCCGCAACAACTGGTGTCAGGGTGGGGGGAAAAAAACGCAACAATATCACGTTCTTCGCATTTAAACCATAAAATTATTCAATTCAACAGCAATATCACAAAATATTTAAAAGAGCATATCTTTAGAATTACCGGATACAGGGACTCGCGCGCTTGAGATAAAAATGCATTCTTTTCTCAGTACAGTGTTGCCATTGCTCGCTTTGAAATCGTCGAGTTTCTTAATCCAAAACCCGTAAGTGATTTACAAAATACGAAATCGGTAATAAAACAAATTACAAATTGCTGGTGCTCATATTTGGGTGGAGACCTACGTTATTCAAAACTGGGTGGCTCTAGGTACCATTGTTTAGACACAATGCGAGAAGCATACATATATTTAGGTAGATTCTTCATTATTTCATTTCTTCAATATAATACAGGGCTCTAATATTCGGTGGCAACAATGTAAAAAGTGATTTGTCTTTTATAGTAATCAACGCAAAATGCCAAAACGAAATTAATAGCTCTTCTGGGCTAACGCCTTTTGCGCTAATACTTTTGTTACGTTTTGTATAAAATCTTATGCAATATTCCTGAATAACACTTATGGATTTGCCAAAGTGACTGCCTATTTTTAAACATTTTAGTCAGGAATTTTATGTGAAAATTCCTGTAAATCTGTAAAGACAATCAGAGTACCAGATTTCATTTTCAGTATGAGAAAACATTTTGATCGATGAACAAAGTTCTTGTTGTGGCTAATCTCTCTTGTCTGACGTCAGTACTAGCCCACGAAATTCATCATGGAAAAGTGTACAGGATTACGTCTGTCGTTGGCCAGAGCCTTGAGCACCATATAGGTGAGAGTACGATTTTGCATAGTTCCACTCCAATTTTGTGGAAAACACCCCGTGAAGGAGTCCAAGGGGCTCCCACCAAAGAATCTTTAAGATTCTTTGGTGGGAATCTCTAAGAATATCTAAGATTCTTTGCTCCCACCCCGCTTCTTCTACCAACCATCCAAGGCCCAAGGCGATATTTTCCGGAGTACCTTTGCAACTTAATGCAATCACCTCCACAACTTCGTTAAGAAAACTGAAGTAATTAAGAAAGAGCATTGGCTAAAGGGAAGTGAATGAAACCATTAAGGGTTTACTGAGAGAGAAATGGATAAGAAGTCCACGCTAGGGACAAGAAATTCTTTCTGCTTTCAACTTGTTGTCTAAGATTGAAAGAGAGAGAGGCGATGATTAAGGCGAATTCCTAAACGCACTGCGTTAATGGAATCGGAAAGGTTGGAAGACAATCAGCCGGGAAATATTTTTTCCAGGGCTTGGGAAAGGTATATTAGGTATTACGGAAAACCGCGGTAGGTGCGGCGAGTTGAATAATAGGAGCAACTTTTCGAAAGGGAAAGGGAACCGTGAGGAAAGTTAACTGTGAAAAAGACGGAAAAGTTTTTTAAGAGGATTAAAAGGAAGGCAAGTGAGGAAAAGTGGTTTAAGTGGGAGATGAGAAGTGGAATAAAAAGGGGGAGAAATAAAAATAGAGGCAATATTAAACTAAGTTACGTGATTGAAGATGTGAACTGAAGATATGCAAGCTTGTAGATTTAAATGCAGATTGCTGAAAACAAAAAATTTTTAGGCATAAGAGTGTTTGAAGTAAAATTCTGGGAGAAATTAATTTTAGTGATTGCTGTATTTACGTGTGGTTTAAGAATTAAATAAGTTACTTGAATTGATAAAAATATTAAAGAGTCAGTGAATCTATTGTGAATTAGAATCCTAATTGTCTGGACCGTGATTTGTGAAAAGCTGAGGTCTTGGCAAGTGGAGGAGCATGTTATCTATAGGAGCACGGATAAAGGACCGAGGAACTAGGCCGAATTAAGTCTGGCGGGCATATGATAATATAGAAATAGTTAAGGGTCGCCGGGTTAGGCCCGTGAAGTGCTAGTTAATTTTAAAAATTAGAAAGAATTCCTAGTCAAGCAGACACCTCCGCTTTGGCTTCCTAGGAAAGATATTAATACCAACCATCCGCACAAGAGATCTTTCGGCTATTTAGAGTGAGCCCATGCCGCAAAGATACTGTATATATATATACACAAACATCCATGCCTTCTCCGGGTTATGATTTCTAGTGGCAAACATAGAGCTCTATTTCTGTGATTGTAATGAGTGTGAGTTTAGTGTTGCCAGAAGATTTTTTTAAAATTTAGTTTTGAAATACAGTGTTTATTTTTAAACCTTTAACTATTTAATATTTGCAGGATGTTAAGCTGTTGTTGGTGGAAGAATGTTGGATTTCAGATAACGTGTAGTTTATGATTATTTAATTTTATTTAATTGATATTTTTCGGGTCAGTTAATTATTTTTCTTTTAGTTTTGTTTCTTGCATGTGACAACCGAGAGATGTGGAATGTTTAAAGTGATGAGCGAAAGTGGTTCAGTGTGTTGAATTCCACGACGATAGTAAATTGTATATTTTAGTGAGTTTATGATGTGTTGTTATTTTGTAAAAGTGAAATTTTTTTATGTTAGTGAAGGAGCATTTGGTATGCATTATTTTTGTATTTTTTAGATTTATGTTTGTGACTTGAATTTTGTGTAGTTTATTTTAAATTTATGTTTTAGTTTGTAGTAATTTATGCTTGTGTTGTATACAGCGTCATTTTCGTTTGGCGATGTTAGATTTTACATGACCGTTTCTTTTTGCAATTGGCAATTGCTAAAGCTTGCGCTTTTGAAATTGGCAATTGCGCTCAGAATTTTTACCTCGCAAACCAAAAGCGTTTGGTGCCAGCTTACCCCGTTTATGGAAGATTAGCCGGGCCCCGGGATTTTGAACCCGGGGCCTTCGAAACGGTAGTCAGAGTCACTAAATACTATTCCATTTGGGTGGCGATGAACAAAGTCAAATCGTCAATGGAGTCCCCCCTTTTTTTTTTCAATATTACATTTCAACTTGAAATGATCCTTTCTGTGGTTTTGATATACGACCCTTGATTTATATAAACTGGGGAAAAAAAAAAAAAAAAAAAAAAAAAAAAATCTGAAATGTTTCAGATTTTAAATTACGTCCAAAGGGGCGTTTTTTTTAACATTTTGTGTGTTACCTTTCTTTATTAAATATCATGTTCCTCGCACTTAAACCATAAGATCCAGTGCAACAGCAATATCGCAAAATAGTTTTAAAACGAGCATATCTTTAGAATTTCCGATACAGAGACTCACGCGCTGGAGATAAAAATGTTTTTTCTGCACAACGTTGCCATTGCTCGCTTTGAAATCCTTGAGTTTGTTAATCAAAAATTCGTCAAAGTTTTAAAAAATAGGAAATCGATCATAAAACAAATTTCAAATTTCAAATTTGGTCTTCCACATGCTCATATTCGTTGGAGGATTACGTTATTCAAAATTCGATGACTCTATGTACCGTTATTTTATGACAATGCGAGAAATATACATACATTTACGCAGATTTTTCATTATTTAATTTCTTCAAATATAATGCAGGACTCTAACATTTTATGGCAATAGTTTGAAAAGTGAACCGACATTTATGAGTCCGACGCAAAATGCCAAAACGAAACTAATAGTCCTTCGGGATTCAAATCCCTTTGGACTAAAAAAAAAATACGGAGTTCGGAGATAAGGGTACTTCAATATCTGAATATGTTTTTCCTTCTTCCTCAGCATTCGAACTTGATAAATAAAAAATGAAACACTCGATATTTTTTATTTGTATTGTTACAAAGGATACATTCAGAACTTCAAAATAATTCAGAAATTTCAACAATTAAAGTAATGTATTGCAGTATGTAAACAGAGAAAGGTAAAATCAAATATAATTCCATTTCAACTAGTTTGAGGTCATCTAAAAAACAAAATGGCATGTTGACTTACATTTATTTTCAGTCTAAATGAGATATTTGCATTTGATATGGACAGGCTTAACAGTTCTGTTTGTTTCAGGTATTTTCGAGATCACGGCATCAGGTAAATGCCGTTAATGGAGACTGGAAAGAGGTGATGCTATTTTCTCAGTCGCAGAAACTGTCATTACTGTAAAGTAAGAAATGAAGAAGTGTATATGTAGAGAACATGTTAGTCCAGAAGATATAAACAGAGCTCTGCCGCTTCGCTTGCCTGATAACTGTCACATTTGTGATTTGCCTACACATTACAAAAATGCAGGGACAGACAGTGAATCTGAATGGGCATGGCATGCAGTGCCAGAATATCCCAATAACAGCAAGAGGAATGTTTCTCTTTTCAAATCAAGACAGGCTTCCAATCAAACAATATGGCAATTTTTTTTGGAAGCAAATAGCTAAATCTACCATCAGCGGCATCAACAGTGTGGCTCTTGCCAAAAATAAACCTCAGCGATGGTCATGGTTCATTGTCCTAGCTGGATGCATCATCGGTTTCGCATATCAGACGCTCAGCTTTTCGACGCTCTACAACAGTAAGCCCACCGTCGTGCAAATCGAAGTGGAAAATGATGGTTTGGTTGAGTTTCCAGCGGTCACAATTTGCAATTTGAACAGGTAAGTTTCATTACTTTATTTCATTAGAGAATCACTAGTCTCATTACTTTAGTTCGTTAGCGAGTCACTAGGCTCATTACTTTATCTCGTTCCCGAATCACTAGTCTCATTACTTTACTTCGTTAGCGAATCACTAATCTCATTACTTTATTTAGTTAGCAAATCACTAGTCTCATTACTTTATTTCGTTCCCGAATCACTAGTCTCATTTACTTTACTTCGTTAGCGAATCTTCATTACTTTATTTCGTTAGCGAGTAGCTAGTCTGATTACTTTATTTCGTTAGCGAATCACTAGTCTCATTCTTTTATTTCGTTAGCTAATTACTAGTCTCATTACTTTATTTCCTTCGAGAGTCGTTAGTCTCATTACTTTTAGTTAGAGAATCATTAGTCTCATTACTTTAGTTCGTTAGCGAGTAACTAGTCTCATTATTTTATTTGGTTTGCGAATCACTAGTCTCATTACTTTATTTCGTTCCCGAATCACTAATCTATTACTTTATTTCGTTAGCGAGTGACTAGTCTGATTATTTTATTTCGTTAGCGAATCACTAGTCTCATTACTTTACTTCGTTAGCGAATCTTCATTACTTTATTTCGTTAGAGCATCGCTACTTTTATTACTTTTTTTAGTTAGCGAATCACTAGTCTCGTTACTTTATTTGTTTCCCGAATTACCAGTCTCATTACTTTATTTCGTTCCCGAATCACAAGTCTCATTACTTTATTTAGTTAGCGAATCACTAGTCTCGTTACTTTATCTCGTTAGCGAATCACTAGTCTCATTACTTTATTTCGTTATCGAATCACTAGTCTCATTACTTTATTTCGTTAGCGAATCACTAATCTCATTACTTTATTTCCTTAGCGAATCACTAGTCTCGTTACTTTACTTCGCTAGCGAGTCACTAATCATTTACCTTTAATTCTCTAAAAGATCTCACTGAGAACGTTATTATTCAATCTCTAGATTGAGATATTTTAAGAAGTGAGAATAAATTAATTCCGTATACAATAGCATTTTGATTGAAGTAATATGGGCGTGTGCTATCTGTGCTAACTAAAAATTAGAAAAAAAAAAAAAAATCTGAAATGTTTCATATTTTAAATTTACGTCCAAAGGGGCGTTTTTTTAACATTTTGTGTGTTATCTTTCTTTATTAAATATCTTGTTCTTCACACTAAAACAGAAGACATCAACATCAATATCGCAAAATAGTTTTAAAATGACCATATCTTTAGAATTCCCGATAGAGAGACTCACGCGTTGGGAATAAAAATGTTAAATGTTTTTTCTGCACAACGTTGCAATTCCTCGCTTTGAAATCCTTGAGTTTGTTAATCAAAAATTTGCTAAAGTTTTACAAAATAGGAAATCGATAATAAAAAAAATTCCAAATTTCAAATTTGGTCTTCCACATGCCCATATTCGTTGGAGGATTACTTCGTTCAAATTTCGATGGCTCTATGTACCGTTATCTTATCACAATGCGATAAATATACATACATTTATGCAGAGTTTTCATTATTTAATTTCTTCAAATATAATGCAGGACTGCAACATTTTGTGGCAACAGTTTGAAAAGTGAACCGACATTTATGAGTCCGACGCAAAATGCCAAAACGAAAGTAATAGTCCTTCGGGACTCAAATCCCTTTGGTCTAAAAAAAAAAAAAAAAAAAGGCAACTTCTCATATTTTGAATAAAAAATTATTTACGTAAGCAATTTGACAATAAGCTAATGTGCCCTCTAGCTGTTTCCACACTTTAAGTACTCAAAGTTACATAATGAATAAATAAATAAGTAAAAATTTGAAAGCTTTCAAATTATATATTACGCCCAAAGGGGCGTTTTTTTAAACCTTTTTGTGTTACCTTTATTTATTAAATATCACGTTCTTCGCACCTAAACCATAAAATTCAATTCAACAGCAGTATCACAAAATAATTTAAAAAGAGCATAACTTTAGAGTTTCCGATACACAATCTCCCGCGCTGGACATAAAAATGTTCGCCCCCTTGTACAGTGTTGCCATTGCTCGCTTTGAAATTGTTGAGTTTCTTAATCAAAAACTCATGAATGATTTATAAAATATGAAAAAGATAATAAAACAAATTCCAACTTCGGCTTCCAGATGGCCATGTTAGAGAGGTTTACGTTATTCAAAATTTGATGGCTCTAGGTACCGTTGTTTTCTCACAATGCGAGAAACACGCATACATTTATGCAGATTATTCATTAATAATCTCTTCAAATATAATACAGGGCAAATACTTTTGTGGAAAGTTCCAGAACTGTGAAATATTTCTTTTGGTAAAATAAGTTTTATCAACTGTCATCAGTTCTGTATGCATTAAATCTAATAACGAGCCCGTACTCACGCAGTCCTTTTTACTTCCTTGTACGAAGTAAATAGGAAGTATTGTAATCGCGAAAAGTTTCAGGCAGCAAATTTCAACGAAAATATCCATTTTGACCGCTATCGAATGCAATTTAACGATTCTTTTTGCGTGATATCTGTACGTAAGGACTGAATAAAAGACTCGTTTCCTCCAAAAAAATTATAAAACTGCTTTAAAATGAATTCTGAAGAGAATTTTTCGTGGCGTCTGTACGAACGTATGTACGTAGTATCTCTCATAACTCAAAAACGAGTAGCCTCAGAAAGATGAAATTTTTTATATAGGACTGCTATAACATGTAGATGTGCACCCGTATTTTGGTTGCAATCGGCCGCACCAAACGTATATAAATATATTTATATATACATCCACTCTGTTACCCGGCTCAGTGATCTCAGTTTCTTTACTCTTGTATGTTTGTAAATTGTACATTTTTCGCTTTAAAAATGATTGAATTATGTTGTTTTTATCTTCCGGTTAAGGATTTTATGCCTTTAGTAAATCTGCGTGCAATATTTTTAGAATTATCGGCAATTTTAAAGTTGTTTAATTGCCGCTAAGCCTTTTTTTAATGGCGGCCATTGATGTTTACATTTGAAAGAGGAGACTAGTGGATTCGCTGCCAATCTAGGGAAACTTAGCTTCGCAACAACAAAGATAACGCATTCATTTATTATTAACAATTAAATCATGCTTAATTCTTTCTGGAATTTTTTCGAGGAAATAAGTGTTTGAGATTTACTTCGTAATTTTTAATATAGATATTTTGAGTTTTTATGTATTTTTACCTTCTCGCGAAGTGAGAACTGAATTAATTAAATGAGAAATACTCAATCGTCTGTGTGAAAAACTGTTTCTTTTTTTTGTTTGTTTGCTTAATTTCTTTTATACATCATTCTAGCTTTATTATAGTATTTGAATAGAACATGTGGCAACGATTAGATAATTCTATTCTTTAAATGATAAATTTTGTGCATTATGAGTTATAATATGAACGAAATATATAAGTTAACTGTTTATATAATTATTGGATTATATAACAGTTAACTTAGTTTCCGTTATATAATTATTATATAAGTTAACTGATAGAATTATTAATACTGTTAAGTGAATCTAGCGCCAGAGTGTGGCTATGGTAAACAAAAACTAGAGTGAATTTTAAAGAATGCATTTATTTTATTGTGGTTTATACGCTGTCGGCGAAGTAGATTTAATTCAATCCAATAAGTTTAAATGAAATGCAAGAAAAAATGCGTATAATTTAATATTCCAATACAAGGAAGTCATGTGGTGTACACATCAGATTTTTTATAACGTTGTATGGAACGATTAGATTCTCAGATTAGTTTATAGCTATTGCTTTGCTATTTAACTGTGTTAATCTCACTGATATAGATAGATAGCTATCGACTCGATTTCGATTCCTAAAACAAAGCTCATTTTGTCCTACATAATTTACTTATGTTTTTTAGATGCTTCATTTTTCAGTGTATAAAAATGTGTTATAATTTAATAAATGAAACAAAAAATTAAGTTTGAGCCAAGTTATTTTTTTCCTTCATTAAATACCCAGCGTTATTTTAGATGTATTCAATGCTGGCTTAAGATAGCTTTCTTATTAAAGGCACACACAAGTCAGTTGGCATAAATTGTATTAAATGATAGATGACGTAATTTTGGTCAAAAAGGAAGTTAACCGCGATTCTTGGAGAAGAAGATGTAGAATTCCAAAATTTATAAAATCTATCGTGGTAAAGATGTTCATTCAGTGCGTATAAGTGCGAATATTTATTTACGTATAAGCTACATAAACCCAATTTTGGGGGCTCCTCAAAAAATTTAAAATAGCGTACCGTAAGGTTACCGTACTGTTATACCGTAAGGTACAGAGGCTGTTCACACATTTTTTATACGATGTATATTGTATTCACAAAACTAAAATACATAAAATTCTTGTGTTTTAAATGTTCTATTTGACATTCCTTATTCCGAACTATCTTTGACACCGCAATTTTCAGGATAATAATGCCTTTTGAAGTGGCAAAAGAGGTATTCTATCGCATTCCTCCCGAAAAGCTTTACAGAGTTCTGTTAGAATTTTGGAACAATGTTTGGATAATGCAGTTTTTAAAAGTCCGAAAGCACAAAAATCCATAGGTGACACATCGGGAGATTGAGTAGGCGATATCAGTGAAGGGTATGGTCTTGATACCAGTTTTTTTTGTTCCATTTCTTTTAGGAAATTTACAGTGGGATTTTGATGTGTGACTGCTAGCTTTGTCTTGATCGAGTATCACAGATGGATGGCACTGTGGGTAAAGCGATGGTATTTCATTCATAAAAATTGGGGATATAAAATATGTTCCTGATAGTATTTGGATTTAATCTTGACATTTTTTTGCACTCTCTTTATTTTTAACTTGCCATTATAAGAAAAACCAGCAACAATCATGAATCCCTTTAGGAAAAACTTTCTTTCGATTCTTTGAACCATGTACTTAAATTGTTTTCTCCGCCTTTCATGATAATAACTGGCTCTTTTGTTTGTTACAATCATTTAAATACACCCGTGCTTCATCTATTCGTGATAATTGTTTTCCATTTTTCTTTGGATAAGTGTTTCTCATATAGAATTCTGCAGCATGTCGTGCTTTGAGCGATATGCTTTGGAAGAAGACGATGCACATAGCGTTTTTTCGCTTTCTTAAGATTTAAATCAACGTTTATCATTTTGTTTACAGTGGAAACCGAGCATTTGAATGATTTTGCAACTGTCCTTTGACTAGAGGGATTTTCTTTTAACATTAAACAACGTACCTTTGCAATAGTCGAAGATGTCTGTTTTTTCCTTGGATACTTGTTTGGAATTTTTTTCCCACTTGAGGCTCCAATTGGACGTTTTATTCCTTTCTTGTTGATGATATTACCTATCGACGCTTTAGATATCACAAAATCATGACTCTCACATCGGTTTTGGATAACGGAGTATGCATATTTCTCTTCGAAAAGAGCGTCAATGTAGCCTTCGAACCACTGCTTTGTTAAATTCGCCATTTTGAATAAAAACAAAACTTTCAAGCCACGGACGATAATTTTGACTTTTAAAAATATAGTACAATTGCAATGACTTCTTTTGCAGCAAACGATTTTTTATTACCGCTTACCAAAATCGTCTAAAAAATGTGCGAAATGGTTGCGGCTTCATATTTCAAATAGCTTAGGGTCTCAACAAGTCTAAACTCGACCCTATGTTCATCTACTGAATGTAGAATTAATGACAGCCGTGAGAAAAGAAAATGTAAATTTTTTTGGTAATTATTTCATAATTTCGAGTTTTCTATGCATTTGGCTTCAAATCAAGAACGAAATAGAAAGCATTTTGAGGGGAAAAGCATTCCAGTTTATATACTGCGAAATATTTGATTGATGTTTTTCACAATAATTAACAGAATCAAAACTGATCTTAGCTCGTATAAGCTTCTAAAATTAGGCATAACCTGATAGTATTAGGTATTAACCCAACTACCTTGGCCCAATTTGGCAATTTTTTTACAGATGAAAAGATAAAAAATTACTTATAGGGTGCAAGTTAGTGGTTTTTGAGACATTTTTAAAAGATTCTCAAACTATCGACATTTATCAAAGTCGGCAAACATTATCAACGTATGAAAATAAAACATACTTTAGGATTTTAAAATGCAGATTTTAATTATTAAATTAAATAAGATTTAAGCAATACATTGCAACATAAAACGCTTACATTCTTCTTCAAATCTTTCTGCAGTTCTTTGCCTCAAGTACACAGAATTTTTTGATTTGAGTACACAGAGATTTGTTTTCTCTTAAAAATATGTTGCAGAGATTCGGCATCACTCAAAACCCGGTAACATCCATTGTCAACAAGACGCATCTCCTCGTTGCTTCCTTTAAAGACTTTGCGTCAAAATTCTGTATTTTTACAAAAATTTTACCATATCTTCTTCCATCACTGGCAAATTCCATAAGCGAATATTTTAAAATTAAGTCTAAGGCAAAAAAATATCACAGTTTGCTTATGAAAACCGTTGGAACTTAAAATACAATAAAAAGAACGTATATGAAAATCACGACGTTGCTTGATTGAAGGATTTAAAGGAACATGGTTGCATGAAGAACCGTTATGAGCATGTTTGCCACAGTTTGGCGCATTCTGAAAAATTTGGCTACTTTTACTATGGTTGTTGCGATGACACATAAGTACCACTTAATGTTTAGGATATATAGATTCAGATAAAGTAGAACTTTTCGAGAGGTAATTTTTATATTTTATCCATCTCACTTATACTATTAGAAATCTATTATTTTTAAATATATATCATTGCTTCTTCTTTTGTCTTTAGAGTTCGAAGAAGTGCATTTTGTGAATTTTTTCCAGACAGATGTAATAAAACGCCGGATTTCGTAAGTAAAAAAAAACTGTTTTTAATTTTTATAATTTTAACAAAAGAATTAACATAAATACAAAATTAGTGTTTTTTTTAAAATTAAAATTGCAATAAAAATCTGAAAGGTTTCAGATTTTAACTTACATCCAAAGGGGCGTTTTTTTAACGTTTTGTGTATTACCTTTCTTTATTAAATATCATGTTCCTCGCACTTAAACCATAAAATTCAGTTCAACAGCAATGTCGCAAAATAATTTTAAAATTAGCATATCCTTTAGAATTTTGGATACACAATTCCGCGCGCTGGAGATAAAAATTTTATTTGCCATTGCTCGCTTTTAAATCGTTGAGTTTGTTAATCAAAAATTCGTTTTACAAAATATGAAATCGATAATAAAACAAATTACAAATTACAAATTTGGGCTTTCCAGATGCCCATATTTCGCAGTAGGTTTACGTCATTCAAAACTGGTTGGCTCTAGATACCGTTGTTTTATCACAATGCGAGAAACATACATACATTGATGCAGATTCTTCATTATTTAATTTCTTCAAATATAATAAAGGGCAAGAATATTTGGCGGCAGCGATTTGAAAATTGATACGCCGTTTATAGAGTTCCGACGCAAAATGGCAAAACGGAAGACAATAGTCCTTCAGGGACAAAGCCCTTTGGATTAAAAAAGTCGCCAAAAAAAAAAGTGTTTGGCGACTTCTTGTTAAAACGTTCTCTTAGTTTTATTTTAGTAATGTACGAGAAAAAATCAAAACATGAAATCAAAACATAGTTTCGAGAGTCAAAATTTGAATGGGTGCACTAGACATGGGACAAAGCATATGCGAAATTGAAACTATATTGTCTGAGTTATTTTAGCATAAAAAGAGATTCTTGTAACATTCTTTCATCACAGCATCAGTTTCAAAATGATAATATATTGTTTTATATATAAAGCTGTTGAAGATTTATTGGACATCTTGAGTCGAATTCGAAGAATAATCTCTAAAAGATTTACATATCTCTAGAAAAGGAAGATGCGCATCGGTGGTTTTAAGGTTGAGTGGTAATCCAAGTTTGTCGAAAGTGTGGTGATTCAACAAAACATATTATGTCAATAAATCAAATCAATAATCACCAATCAAATAAAATAAAAATTGATTTAATTAAATATAAGAATATCTCAATATCGCACAACTGCGTCACACATTCCATCGAGCTAACTGCATCGAAACTCAGCACACTCTCAATGGCGCTCTCAGCGCCCTCTAGCGTTAGACGAGTCTTACCATTCTCCCCGCTTAAACTCCCATGGAGTTTACATTTCAATTTCCAGATATTCAAATAAATTTAAAGTCACTAAAATTACACTAAACTAAATATTAAATTGGTAAACAATTAAATATAAAATAAAAGTTTTTCAAGTTCATTCAGTCTTTAAATGGTAGAGGAATAATTCTGTTGATGGCTCGCCGAAAGAATCTCTAAGGAGAAGAATGAAAGCTTCCATAGACGCAATGTAAACCTGTTTCGCCTCTGCGCTGCTGTACCGAAGAGCCACGGCTATGCAGTGAAACACCAGCGCAGGGTGAAATTTAAACAGCGCAGTTCGAGGAGAGAGCAAATTTTTTACTTTGAAATAACTCAAAATGTTTTATTTTCATACATTTCTGGAGTTTTATGAGCAAAAGGATGTTAGTTGGAATTTTGGGGCGAATTATAGAAATCCTGTCCAATTTTTACTTTCAATTTAAACAGCGAGCCGTACGAAGACAAAATTTAAATGAAATAAATTTCTTAATTCTTTTTCTTCTGTAAACTTGAAAAAAGGGGGGAAAACACATGCCATACAAAACCGTAATAAATTTTTATGGATCCATAGTTAAAATTTTACAGTGAAATTGTAAAAGCAAAATTTGCAATAACTAACTGAAACAGAAAAAAATATTTAAAGACAATTAAAGGCACCCCTAAATAAATTGAAAACACTGAAATACATTATAATTATCCGACAACAACTTTAAAAACAAATTACTATGAAAACGTTTAGACAATTATTTGGAATGACCATTGTGAAAACCAAGAGCAAAGCTTTCACCCAATAGCCAAAACCATTTCACTTACAGCATTACATTTAAAAAGTCTTTAAAAGAATTTCACATAGCTAAAACCAAGTACCTCTGACTACAACAACAAAGAACGTTTTCGAACAACGTGGTAAAAGATTGCTAACATGGCCGACGGCATGCTGCATTCTTTCCTTTGTTGCCTTTGCTGCTTTGTTGCCTCCTGATGTTATTTCGCACATGCGCAGTGAGGTACGGAGGGTGGATAGCTTTGGAATGGTTTGCCCCTTTAAAGTAAGCTTCAGGGATATACATAATGTGTCTCTTCCGTCTGACGGAGCCACATTTGCCCCGGGGAACCTTTATTTCTCCTTAGAGATTCTTTGGCTCGCCGAAGAACACCTGTAGAGGTTTTAACTTCAACTACTCTGACTAGACCGTCAGTACCAGGATACACTTGTTGGATCCGGCAAAGGATTGGGGTTGGAGTCCTTCAGCAGTACTAGTTGACCAATCTGCATGTTGGCTGCGAACAGCTCCATTTGGCACGATTCTGTAGTTGATTTAGATACCCGGAATGCCACCTTTTCCAGAATTTGGCTTGGAGTCTTTGAACTAGTTCCCACCTGGAATGAAAAGAAAGAGAATCCGAAGCAGTATGTGGTTCAGGAAAGGATAACATAGCACTTGCTGTTAAAAAATGTTCCAGAGTTAAAGGCTATAAGTCATTCGGATCATGGGAATTCAGAACTGCTTCTATCTGAGTAACTAAAGTAGTTAACTCTTCAAAATTCATGATAGCTGATTTTGCTACCCTTAAGAAAATTCGTTTCACTGATTTTATGTTTGCTTTCCACAGTCCGCCAAAGTGAGGAGAAGCTGGTGGGATAAATTTCCATTGGATGCCTTCTTCTGCACTAAATCCTTGAATTGGGTTAGATTTGCAAATATCATTATAGGCGTTAAGAATATTTCTCGCACCTTTGAAATTCGTGGCGTTATCGCTCCAGATAACGGCTGGTTTGGATCTTCTGGCAATAAATCGTCGTAAACAGGCTAGAAAAGCTTCTGTTGTTAACTCAGAAACGACTTCTAAATGCACTGCTTTAGTGCAAAAACAGATAAATAATGCAATATAAGAAAATAGTATCTTGACTGCAGGAGAGCTTGAAGCTAAAAGTGCGCAATTATTTAATATGGAGGCTCACCAAAAGAAGGTTTTGGTTAGATTAGAAAGTTCTCAAAATTTTGAGTTCAGTTTCCGAGGTAGCTAAGTCATCAGCGTTACGCAAGCTATGCAAGATGGAGTGATCTAGAAATGACGCAGTCCAGAAAAAGCTATTATTGCCATTTTTAGAATAGTGAGAGGGAATTAAAGGGTTACCGCTAGTTTAAATTGTAATTTTGATTTACATTATTTTTTATCTTACTTTGTATGTAATAATTTATATGTAGATAACTTGGTGTTTGTAGGCAGCTTTAAACTATTGCGTAGATGGAATGATAGACATACAGACAAACAAACCGAGTTGAACATATGATTTATTCTTGGAGATATCTTCATGGAACATTCTTGAAACACATCTTCAATCACATATCATTGATTTCTTAGGACATCTGTTCTTGATTTTCATGACACTCTGGGTGCTTTAAGCGCATCACAATTTTATATAAAACGCATTACGTTTTTAAACAATAGATGAAAGCTGTAAGGCCGCAAGCAGATGCTGGTTAGATAAAGGAAGGGGGGAAAAGTGACTGCGTATGAGTAGCTTGGTATTTATAAACTCGATTCCTTTGTTTCAGTTTTGAATGGTGATTGAGTAATAGCTCTACAGCACTGCGGATCATTGCATAAGAAGTAATGATGTAAGTGGCGCAATACATATTCCTTTGACATTAAAGTTAGGAATAAAAAGGACTATTAATAAATTGAGCTACTATTTTGTTAGTAATTTTCTTACGTATTTTATATCTTACAAGTGTAATACCTGCGCTCATGTATGTGCGGTACGTGTGGATTGTCTATTTATTGAGCTAAATTCATTTTCATAATCTAATAGGTGCTGACGGAAAAAGAAGTCGTAGATATTGTGTATGAAATAATGCTAGAAGGTGATCCAGATAAGAAAAGGAAACTCGGACATTCTTCCAACATGATACAAAGCTGTATCTTTAATGGAAAACCGACAGTAAAAGAAAATGAATGTACCCGGTGAGTATAATTCCTTCATATGCATAGTTAGTAAATATTTGTTTTAATGCGTACGTAATTGCGACATCATAGAAGATTTCATATGCACCTAACACACACAAAAGAAGGTGTGTATGTGTATGTGTATTTAATTATGGCAAAGCACACTAGGGTTATCTGCCTAAGGGCAGGGATGCTTTCGTGGAGGACTTTCTAAGGGAAACTGGCTCGTATACACGTTACACACACAAAAGAAGGAGGACAGTTTTATATCTCTCGTTCTGTTGGGCCGATTGACGAAATTCAACTTGCATTTTTATGTCTCGAAAGCGCGACTTAGGATATGTATTAGATTTATATACAGGGTGTTTCATAGATCATGGGACAAGCTTGGAGGGGTGGTGGAGCGTACTAAAACATGCATTTTTTTATAGGAATGTAGGGTCTAAAGTGACGGGTTAAGGCAGGAACACACACACACACACACACACACACAACAAAAAAAAAAAAAAAAAAAAAAAAAAAAAAAAAAAAACCCGACACAAGAGGAAACTGTGTTTATGTACAAAATCAACGCAAAGTACTTCTTTGTAGCAATACGGTATTCACAATAAATGTTCAAAATTACCACCACCAGCAGTAATACATGCTCGGTAACGTCGCAGAAGAGATTGATGAACATTTTGAAAAACGACAGGCATTTCGGGCATGCTTGCAGCCGCAATGGATAGACGTGCAACGAGGTCCTCCAGTGAGTCAACGGGAGTCTCGTAAATGATGCTCTTCAGATGGCTCCATAAAAAAAATCCAAGCTGGATAAATCTGGCGAACAGGGTGGCCATCGAACGGGTCCACCACGGCCAATCCATCGGCCCGGAAATTTTTACTCTTATCTTAACAGTACTAGATGTATTTCTAAGCATACGTACAAAAAATTAGAGTTTTTGTTATTCAAAATTTCCGAACATATACGTGAATTTACATATCATCGCGTTTTGAAAGTTGCCATATTTTTTAATAACGCCAAATGTGGTTTAAAAACTTCGTTAAAATTATTTGAAAGTTTGAACAATGATCTTTTTTCTGCTGGTGTACAATGAAAAAAAGGAAAGGAAAACAGATTGCTATAAATTAAGCAGTTCGCCCAGTGAATTATTCTTGGCGTCAATTGAAAAGAAATGCGCCTATATGAATTCTTAAATTTCTCACCAAAAATTGCAAAATCTAATATCTGCGTATAATTTGAGTCGTAAAATTGAAAAATGGGGAAAAAAAAGGGAAAAAGAAAGAAATTCTGAAATATTTTACAGATTTTAAATTACGTTCAAAGGGATTTTTTTTTTTTTTTTTAAATTTTGTGTGTTACCTTTATTTATTAAATATCAAGTGTTTTTCGCACTTAATGCCATAAAATTCAGCTTAAGATTGTTGCTTAATTAAGAACAATATCGCAAAATAATTTTAAATTGAGCCTATGCTTAGAATTTCCGATACAGAGTCTCGCTCGCTGGAGATAAAAAGTGTTTTTTCTGTACAAGCGTTGCCATTGCTCGCTTTGGAAATCCCTGGGTAAAATTTTAATTCAAAAATTCGTTAAAGTTTTACAAAATATGAAATCGATCCAGATGCCCATATTCGTAGTAGGATTACTTCATTCAAAATTCGATAACTCTAGGTATCGTTGTTTTATCACAAAGCGAGAAACATATATACATTTATGTAGATTCTTCATTATTTAATTTCTTTAAATATAATACAGGGCGATAATATTGGGTGGCAACAGTTTGAAAAGTGAAACAGACATTCAGAGTGATTCGACGCAAAATCGCAAAAAGAAAACAATAGTCCCTCAGAGACAAAGCCCCTTTGGAGTAACAAAAAAAATGGTATGCTATTTCAGAAAACGTCCGGTTTTGTGTCAAAATACCTATGTTATAATAATACTATATATTAAATCTAATATATATCCAAGTTGCACTTTTGAGACATGGAAAACGCAAATAAAATTTCTGCAATCAGTGCAGTAAAACGGGAGATATAAAACTGTCCCCCCTTTTTTTTGTGCAAGTTATACATCGTAGATTTTAGTACGAATTAGCAGAAAGCAGATTTTATAATTTGAGACCAAAATCAGACTTTGATATTGAATGTTGGTATTCCAAAATTTCGAAACGTTTTAACTGTAATAATAACCGTGTGAGTTTTATTGTTCGAAATCATCACAGTCTCGAGCGCATATCTTCAAATAACAGTATCTGAAGCTTCATTTCAATTGGTAGAGCGGATAGGCCGTGAATATGTTATTTTATATATCTGAGAGTATTCTTATGAACACCATGTACAGAATGTATTCACACGTTTTTGTAACGATTTTGCACGGATTTATATGTAAACAAACCTCAGAATGTTATTTTCTGATATGTTCAGTTTGATAGCTCTTTTGTTGCAGTCAGGTAAATATGTTGTTGCAGTCAGGTAAAATATTTTTCTATTGCAGTCAGGTAAATATATCAGATTAATCATCTCATCAATTGTAACTACATATTTCCATATTTCATCTCTTGAATAATTTTCCTGCTGCAATAGTTTTCTCCACATAGCTTATGAGAAACATGTTTCGATGTTAGGCGATGAACATCCTGTTTTTTTGTTTTAATTAGCTTTAAATCAGATTTTATAATTTTGTTCACAGTTCCTACATGATTATTAAGAGATTTTGTAACAGCTCTTTGGAGGATTGGCTTTTCATTTAAAACATGAGAATCGACTTTAAGATTTAATAAGAGCTGTACGTACATTTGTCGGGTATGCATTTTTTGCCTTTTTCCCACATATAAATTTTCCTTTCATATTAATTGTGTCACTTATTTTACGTCTAGAAATATTAGAACCATGCTTTTTTTTAATAACTGAATAAGATTTCTTCTCTTCAGACAGCGCATAAATAGAGCCTTCGATTCATTGTTTATTTTTCAGCGATATTTTAAAGAAAAGTATACTTTTAATGCTGCAGACGATAATTAAATCTTATTCCAATTTGATGCCAGTCACGTAAAAATTAATATTTAAATTCATGGAGAAAATCAAAGTCGTTATAAAAACGTGTAAACACCCTCTGTTATATGCATGCTTTGTTATTATTCTCTTGTATATCAAATTATTTCATGAGCGGAGCATTTGAGGTGGAGTTTTGAAATCTGAAATAAGCAGGCTCATCTATATTGAACATGCTTCGCTTCCATACCTAAAATTTACAAAAATTTAAAATCCACTACCCAGTAGTTAATGCAGATCACAAAAATTATTCACTTTAGAACGAAACACTAAACTTAAAAGAATGGTAGTTAAAAACTAACACTCATTTCGATGGAAAATATGATTAATGAATTCCGAGAGGAAAATAATTTCTCATTTTCAGAAAAAATAAAGAACTCAGGAAAATAAAAATTAATATACCGTATAAACTGTAATTCATAGAAAGGAAAATGGAACTAAACATAACTCTTCAGCTAAACATAAATTTAGCTGAAGAAAAACTGTAGTAATAATCTCGGCATTAGTAATGACTTAAAAATGCAAGATATTCCTGTTTTTTTAGAAGAAATATTTAGTGGAAATCTTTAATGGAATCTTTTCAGTTTGATAAATAGATGATAAATTACACTGAAATTTAAATAATATTCTTTGGCGTAATTAAATACATTTATTATTTCTATATTTTTGTTTTTATTTATTGTTATTAATATTGTATACATTCATTGTAATGTTTAATATTATCATACATAGGAATTTACAGTATTATTATGATCCTGATTTCGGTAACTGTTACACCATCCCAGCGAAGAACAAAGATGGAATTTTGCTCCAAGCAAGAGAAGCTGACTTTTGGCAAGAAGCTAATGGCAAGTACAGTATTTAAATTTTTGGTATGTAGTATTCTCCCACACAAGCACACTTGGCATTTAATGTCTTCAACAACCGGTACTCATTAATTTATTAAAAAATTGCACATTTGGACATTAAATCCTTCTACACATAAGGTTTAAAATAGTTGAAAGGCGATATTTCGATCATTAGAGGATAGGGTGTTATAAGTACAAACGGATTTAGTGCGCAAAATTTGATTTTTAGACCAAAGGAAGTTAGCCCGAAAGGGCTATTAATTTCTTTTTGGCATTTCGTGGCGTTTCGCTTTTCAGAATGTTGCCACCAATTATCATCGCCTTGTATTATATTTAAAGAAATTAAATAATGAAGAATCTGCATAAATGTATCTATTTATCGCATTGTGATAAAACAACGGTACCTAGAGCCATTCAAGTACGTCTCCACCCGAATATGGGCATCTGGAAGCCCGAATTTGGAATTTGTTTTATTATCTATTTCATATTTGGTAAAGTTCTTATGAGTTTTTGATTAACAAACCCAACGATTTAAAAGCGAGCAGTGGCAACACTGTACGAAAAAAAAAAAAAAAAAAAAAAAACATTTTTATCTCCAGCGCGCGAAACTGTGTATCGGAAATTCTGCAGATATGCTCATTTTAAATTTTTTTTTCCGATATTCTGTTGAACTGAATCTTATGATTTAAGTGCGAAAAGCATGATATTTAATAAATAAAGGTAACACATTGTAAAGTAGCGCGCTTCCAACCTGCACGCAACAAAGTGGTGACTGCAGAGAACTGGAAATAAACCTATAAATAAGTCTTGAGAAGGGTTTAAATCCCTTTTATTCAAATTTAGAAGTTACAAATGCGTGCTCTTGACGCTCACAAACTACGCCGACCCAGCGGTAAAATAAAAATAAGAAACTAAAAAGAGATAGTAACAAGTGACTAACTACGAGGCTCTCTAAACGTAACTAACCTCACCGCGTTCTAAAATACCGCTGATAATTCAGCAAACTCTGAATATTACGTTGAAAGATTAACAATTTGCCGAGGCAAGCACACAGGCCGAAATGCGTGGTTCTTCAATTTCCAACTAGCCACCTCCACACTCGTGAAGCAAGAAGCACTCTTTCGAACTCGTTTCCTTTCTATTTAACTCAGAATACTTCCGCTGATAATTTCGCTGATAATTTGAATCCTTGCGCGTTCTACTCAAATTTACATACTCTGGCATTGGCAATTCCAGGGGAAAGTAAGGCTTGACAGGAAAGATAGTTTAAACTTAAAATAAATGTTAGTTAAAATAAATATAAACCCTACAACATAAAAGGTTAAAAAAAAGCTTCTTTGGACGTTCTGAAATCTGAAACCTTTCAAATTTTCTTTTTTCCCTTTTTATTATTAACTTTCGTCTGTTTAACCTTATTTGTTATTAAAGATCAAGTTATAATATTCTATATAAAATTGAACAAAAAAATCACAAAATATTTACAAACAAACCATATCTTTAGAATTCTCGATAGAGTGTTAGGAGTTGTCATACATTTTTTTAATATTCGCTATATTACTTCTTTGAAAATTAGCTGTTCGTGCTGGCAGCTGTCTAAAATAGTACCATAAAAAAAAAAAAAAAAAAAAAAAAAAAAAAAAAAAAAAAGAAAATCTGAAATGTTTCAGATTTAAATTACGTCCAAAGGGGCGTTTTTTTAACATTTTGTGTGTTACCTTTCTTTATTAAATATCATGTTCCTCGCACTTAAACCATAAGATCCAGTGCAACAGCAATATCGCAAAATAGTTTTAAAACGAGCCTATCTTTAGAATTTCCGATACAGAGACTCACGCGCTGGAGATAAAAATGTTTTTTCTGCACAACGTTGCCATTGCTCGCTTTGAAATCCTTGAGTTTGTTAATCAAAAATTCGTCAAAGTTTTAAAAAATAGGAAATCGATCATAAAATAAATTTCAAATTTCAAATTTGGTCTTCCACATGCTCATATTCGTTGGAGGATTACGTTATTCAAAATTCGATGACTCTATGTACCGTTGTTTTATCACAATACGAGAAATATACATACATTTATGCAGATTTTTCATTATTTAATTTCTTCAAATATAATGAAGGACTCTAACATTTTGTGGACACAGTTTGAAAAGTGAACCGACATTTATGAGTCCGACGCAAAATGCAAAACAAAACTAATAGTCCTTCGGGATTCAAATCCCTATGGACTAAAAAAGCATATAAGGATTTTAATGAGTTCAGTTATTTACCACATGAGATAAAAAAATTTAACGTTTCTGATTTTGATACACTTTTATTTAAATCAAGCATATAAAAAAATGATCAAAATATTCTTAAGATATATTTGTTTATTGCCTTTGAATGGCTTATACTATGACTCACTGACTTACAAGATTAAATCTTAAAGATAAATAAATATCTTGCTCTTTAGCGAATGGGAACATGCATGGAAAATAAAAGTGTTTTATTTTCGGGGGTGGCAACACATTGTTTTTAAATCGCCGAGATTGTTAATTAGAATTGAAAGAAAGGTATCTTAATTTTGATGAAATAAATAAAAAATCTGACGTGTACACCACATGACTTCCTTGTATTGGAATATTAAATTATACGCATTTTTACTTGCATTTCATTTAAACTTATTGGATTGAATTAAATCTACTTCGCCGACAGCGCATCAACCACAATAGAATAAATGCATTCTTTAAAAATCACTCTAGTATTTGTTTACCATAGCGACACTGGCGCTAGATTCACTTAACATTATTAATAATTATATAGCAGTTAACTTATATAATAATTATATAACGGAAACTAAGTTAACTGTTATATAATCCAATAATTATATAACAGTTAACGTATATATTTCGTTCATATTATAACTCAGAATGCACAAAATTTATATCATTTAAAGAATAGAATTATCTAATCGTTGCCACATTTTCTATTCAAAAACTATAATAAAGCTAGAACGATGTATAAAAGAAATTAAGAAAACAAAACAAAAAAGAAACAGTTTTTCACAGACGATTGAGTATTTCTCATTTAATTAATTCAGTTCTCACTTCGCGAGAAGGCAAAAATACATAAAAACTCAAAATATCTATATTAAAAATTACGAAGTAAATCTCAAACACTTATTTCTTCGAAAAAATTGCAGAAAGAATTAAGCATGATTTAATTGGCAATAATAAATGAAAGCGTTATCTTTGTTGTTGCGAAGCTAAGTTTCTCTAGATTGGCAACGAATCCACTAGTCTCCTCTTTCAAATGTAAACATCAATGGCCGCCATTAAAAAAAGGCTTAGCGGTACTTAGACAACTTTAAAATATTGCAGATAGATTTACTAAAGGAATAAAAACCTTAGATAAAAAGATAAAAACAACATAATACAATCATTTTTAAAGCAAAAAATGTGCAATTTACAAACATATAAGAGTAAAGAAACTGAGATCACTGAGCTGGGTAACAGAGTGGATATATATATAAATATATTTATATACGTTTGGTGCGTATATAAATATATTTTGCCGATTGCAACCAAAATACGAGGTGCACGTCTTCATGTTATTGCAGTCCTATATACGAAATTTCAACGTTCTGAGGCTACTCGTTTTTCAGTTATGCGAGATACGTACGTACATACGTTCGTACAGACGCCACGAAACATTCTCTTCAGAATTAATTTTAAAGCAGTTTTATAATTTTTTTGGAGGAAACGAGTCTTTTATTCTGTCCTTACGTACAGATATGACGCAAAACATCGTTCAATTGCATTTGATAGCGGTCAAAATGGATATTTTCGTTGAGATACGCTGCCTGAAACCTTTCGCGATTACAATACTTCCTTTTTACTTCGTACAAGGAAGTAAAAATAAATTCTAAATTCTAGCTTCGTGATGCACATGTTCGGGTAGAGGACTACGCGTATTAAAAATTTGGTGGTAGTGGCTTCAGGCGCCGCCGGTTTTTCGCAATACGAAGAACATACATGCATATGTATAGATTCATTATTTAGCTTTTTGTTTAATAATAAACATTTGGCGGAAAAAATTTGAAAAGTGAGTTGGATACAAAAATGTAACAGATAAAAATTGGTATCAAGACTCATATCATCTCTGCTGCTTATTCAGTGGCTACTAATCAAACAAATATTTAATATTAATGTTCAATGTAGCATACTAATTTTAAAAAAATGAATTGAAAATATTATAGCTTAAAACGAGAAGGGTACATTTTTTTTTTTTTTACCTTTAACAGTTTCTACTACTTCTGCCACATTTTTCTCTTTGCTTATGCTTCAACACTGTGGCATTCCTGGTTTAAAAATAATTTAGGGATCTTTTAAAGTTATAAAAAAAAAAAAAAAAAAAAAAAAAAAAATCTGAAAGCTTTCAGATTTTATATTACGCCCAAAGGGGCGTTTTTTTTTTTTTAACGTTTTCTGTGTTACCTTTATTTATTAAATATCATGTTCTTCGCACTTAAACCATAAAATTTAATTCAACGGCAAAATCACAAAATATTTAAAAAATAATATCTTTAGAATTTCCGATACACAGTCTCGCGCACTGGGGATAAAAATATCTTTTTTTTTCATTAAGTGTTGCCATTGCTCGCTTTGAAACCGTTCAGTTTCTTATTCCAAAATTCACATATGCTTTATAAAATACGAAATAGATAATAAAACAAATTATAAGTTACAAATTTGGGCTTCCAGATGCCCATATTCGAGTGGAGACGTACGTTATTCAAAATTGGATAGCTCTAGGTAGCGTTGTTTTATGACCATGAGAGATACATATATTTATGCATATTTTTTATTATTTAATTTCTTTAAATATAATACAGAGTTATAATATTTGGTGGCAACAATGTAAAAAGTGATTCGCCGTTTATAGTGAATCAACGCAAAATTCCAAAACGAAATTAATAACCCTACTGGGCAAATTGGTCCTTTCGGCTAAAAATCTGTCACTTTTC